CCCTCAATGTAAAGTTCTTTCTCACGTTGAGGTGGATCTTCTTGTGATTTTATTTATGGCCATGGCTCCTCATCCTACCACTGGGAATCACTGAAAAGAGCCTGGCATCATACTCTTGACACCCACCTTTAAGATACTTATAGTCACTCATGACATCCTCTCCCAGTCATTTCTTTTCTAGACTAAACATCCCCATCTCCCTCAGTCTCACCTCGTAAGAGAGATGCTCCAGACCTCAAATCATCTTTGTGGTCTCTGCTGGAGCCTCTCCATTACCTCCTGGTCTTGTGCTGAGGAACCCAGAACCAGACACAGAACTCCAGATGTGCCCCACTAGAGCCAAGTAGAGGGGCAGGATCCCCTCTTTTGACCTGCTGGCCACACTCTTCCCGAAGCACCCCAGGATCCCACTGGCCCTCCTGGCCACAAGGGCATTGCTGGCTCATGGCCATCTTGTCATCCAGCAAGACTCCCAGGGCCTTCTCTGCAGAACTGCTCTCCAGTGGGTCACACCCCAGCCTGTGCTGGGATTTGGGGTTTTTCCTCCCCAGGTGCAGGACCCCGCACTGGCCCTTGTTGAACCTCATCAGGTTTCCCTCTGCCCAAGTCTCCAGACTTTGATGGTCCTGCTGAATGGCAGCTCAGCCTTCAGGTGTATCTGTCATGCCCTCCAGTTTTGTATCACCAGCATAAGATGGTACAACACAATACTTCTGTAGGCCGGGATTTATTGCATGTATTTAATGATTATTCTGAAGAGGTAACAACCAATCACTAATTAAGTTAGTCAGATATGAAGAAAGCTGTTATGAAATTTTGAATGACCTCTGATTCAAATGGGGACTGCAATAGCAAGGAAAAATGCCAGACAGCCAGTTAAAGGTCTGGTGATTGAGTAGAGCAACAGGAACATCTCATGTGGATTGCCAGACCTTAAACTAGCTATTATAACTCAGGGAAAAAAATCACAAGTTTAATGTGAACATCTCCTTTCCTAAAGCAAACACACATCTCATCTGCTCAGAAGACATCAATATCAGCCTCAAAAAATATTAAGAAAGGTAGTACTGGAGTTATGGCTTCTTGTAAGTTCCTGGAACATCATTTTCTCATGGGTTACCTACCTGAAAAACAAAATACCAAACCAACCACCCAAACAAACAAAACTCAAAACCTAACCCAAAACAGACCAAAACCAAAATGAAAAGTAAACCAAAAAAACTCCTGAATAAGCAAACAGCAATGAAAAAGAAACAGTAATAGCTGAAAACTATTACAACAATGAAAAACTTGCTCAAAAGACAGAGACATACTACAGACAAAAGACAAAACAGAAGTCCTTTTTTACATAACCATTTCTCAAGAAAAATAATTTTTACACTTTTTATTCTGCTACAATTTTGTAGAGTTCTCTTGGAAATTTCTACTGTAATTATTGCAGAGAATTAAAATAAATAGCCCCAGTGTTTTCAATGAGACAAAGAATATGAAGAAACACAATAATATTACACAATGGTAAAGAGAATATAAAATACAGAGCACAATTAAACTGTGTTAAATGTTGGTGTGAAGTGCATCTATAAGTCATAGTTAGGTTAAAACAGTGAAGATGACAACATATTTTTCCTGCTCATATTAACAGTACTAGGTGAAGTTAACATGAATGTGAACTCAAACTCCCAACCTGAAATGAAATCTAAGCTATTTCATCCTGCAATAGTCTGGAAACAACACTTAGGTGAAACTTACTGTAAAACGAGACTCTTAGTACCATATGTTGGTAAGAGAATAAATCTTATTTTTTTAAGTGAGTCCTTGATCAAGAGGAAGTTAGGAGCACATAAAAATTTACACGTCTACATATGAAAACTGCCACCAAAAAATTCAATTCTCACTCTATCTTTGAAGTCCCACAAACAACTCCACATCAGCAACAAGATGTTCCAAGTTCGAGAGCCCTTCTGTGCCTGAAACAACACCTAAGTCCCAAAATCTCAGATCTGGCTTATTTTCTATGGTGCAGCAGGAAGAAGTAATATCCTGTACTACATAACTTGGAACACTCACTTGAGTGTGAGGAATCCCATTTCCAGGCTCTTCCCACCTTCAGGCAGTGTGGACACTGCCTTTCCAGCAGAACTACAAGCTATTTTAGAAAAGAGGATCTGGGACTGTTTTACTAGACATACTACAGCCCTGCCAGACTGAAGTTGCAAATTTCATGGAGCTGGAAAAAAGGAGAGAGAGGATAGCACAGCCCAATGGCTGGGCAACTTGGAAAGGGAGGGAAGAGCCATCAGTTTCACACAAGCCACAAGGTCCCACATCTCTGTTGGGCAGCTGTGGTGAGCACAAATCCTGATGAGTCCTTTTAAAAAAATCCTGCTATGGGGACCTACCTCTGGAGAAGGGCCCGGACTCCACAGCCTGTAGGCACTGGACTCTGGTCAGCCTTTGCTAAGGGCTATTTCAAGGCTGTTTCTGCTGCGTTTGCAGGTTTCCACCCAATTGTGGCATGCACTACAGAGGGAGATTGTGTGTCCCAGCTCCATGTCTTTATTGAGCCTTCCTGGGACTGGCTACTGAAGACACCTGTTTCAGCCCTAAATATGACAGCAGAGAAGCACAGAGGCTACATCCTGCCCTTTGTTCTCACCACTAAAGCATTGCTGGCCCAACAATGTAAACATGTCACAATTCTCCCACCAACTGCAGTGGGAAGTGTATTGCATCTTCTATGCTTTGATTTAACTCTCCTCTGTATCTTGCAGCTGAGAACAAAAGTATTGTCCTTGTGACAAATTTCCTTACTGTAATAATACAGACACTAACAACAATGAAGGGAAGAAAAACTACTAGAAAAGAAGTGCATTACTTAGACAAAATAATAAACCATAAATGACTACAGTGACAAGATTAAATGTGAAACCTCTAATTACACACTTAATCATTTGCCAACGTCTTATTTTCTTGAAGTAATGTTCATGAAGCTTCAACAAGATTTGAATTTGAGACTGATTTTATGTGTGAACTGCAAAAGCAATACAAATAGAAATGGTTTAAAGACTAAAAAATATATATTAACTTTACTCTTCAGCTCTGCTGATATTTTACTGAACACCTTTATTACTCTCAGTTAAACTAGCCCTCATTGAGTGACATCACTGTGTTAAAACACATCAAACCCATCCCTATTGCACAGATACTATATAAAATAAAGTAGAAAATTAAGGGGCAAATGAGTGGTTACTTAAAAAGTAAGATGCTGTATTAAAACAAGAGTGTAATAACATTGTGGAAGATGACACTGTTATTTGTGAAGTGTGGACAAACCTGTGCCCCCAGGCCATATCTGCTCCACTGCCTTTTCCACAAGGAGGCAAGAAGCAGCTGCTAGAACAGAAAAGTGTATCACCAGCATCTGAACACCTTTTCCTATGGATTTCAGAGCCCAGAAACAGAGAGTAGGGCTGGTTGTTGCTGTCGGGTTCAGAATGGCCAAGGGAATTTCCTTATTTCTGTAAAAATTCTGCGCACCAAAGTCATCTTCCAGCACACCCAGAGGAGTACTTACTAAAAACAAGGTAACCCAAAGCACAACAAAAAGCAAAAATAGCAAAATTCTCCTTCTTCTAACTGGAACATAAGGCAAAGTCCAGACAACCTTTGCATTTAGACAGATGCCCTCAAAGAATGAGGAGTCAGAAAGTGCAGACTTTCACCAAAGTCAGAATATTGCTTATATGGTAAGAAAAACAGTCCAATATACTGAACACGTCTCCTAATATGAATTGTAAAGGCACTGTTGTACTGCTAGGTTTTGCTTCCCCTATAAGAGAGCAGTTGGAGTTGAAGGAAAAACCCTGGAGTGCCTTTTATTTTGTTTTATCATGTTGTAGGCTTCGGTAAACTGTCTTATTGTTCCTAGCCAGGGTGGATCTTCACACAGACAAAACTGTAGTTCAGCTGCTTTTTTTCCTTTCTAAGAACAAATTTAGACTGGGCCTGGGTTGCAGGGAAGATGGGTTTGCTGTACTCATGCTTTTCACCCCAGCAGAGGGGACCAGAGCACATGGGGCCAGGCCAGTGTTCAGGGTGCAGAAATGTGCAGGAGCAAATACAGTGGGGAAGCATCAGCTGCTGCAATGGAGGAGGACAACATTTTTATTGTCTTTTGTGGAGACAAAAACCACCAGACAGAGAGCTCTGAGGTAATCTTCAGGTCATCTTTTCTTCCGTGTTTGTCTATTTGCATCATCCTTTTGAAAAATAAGTCATCCTCTGTACCTGTGGCTCTTGATTCCCTTAAATTGGTTGTTGGTACTTGACAGAACCCTTGACTCAATGCTGTGAACTGGAGGAAATGCTCCAGAATCTGCTACCTGCTAGAGGTCTCTGCTTCTACCACCTTTTGGAACAGGCAAAGCCAGAAAGAAAAGGGGATAATTTAATCAGGTTCTGACTATTACATAAGACTACTGCATGTTTGCTTCTCAGCTAAGTAATTTTTTAATTATTATTTTGTTTTGTAAACAAGAAAAATTTGCTTATGAAAAGCAGGGAACACAGACACACATCCATAGCAATCTAAGTACAGTCAGCACTGGGAAAATTAGTTTTCTTCCTTTCTTTCCTTTTTTGAACCTCTTTTTGAATCATGAGGAGTTTGGATTGATTCAGTAATAGATATTTTTCTTTCACCTACAACATTTGAAAATGGCTTTAACAGCACAGCACACATTAACCCCCTCCTCCCTATATAGAACTCCCTGCCTATTAAATCCACATTCAGTGCTTAAACTGAAAATATAGGAGGTGTTTCACTTAGTACTTCTGAATGTATGTGAGGCACCAATGTCAGAGTCCTGGAAACAAAACACATTTTGATCCTCTTTTTCCCAACAATTACTGGATAAATAATTCATGAGGGAATGCTGAAAGCAGGCTCACTCATTGTGTACCTGACAACACATGGCTGAGATGACAGGACATTTACTCACCCTGCCAGCCAGATAATCTGTAGGTCTTTGGAGTTTTTCTCTCTGTCTCTTCTCTAGTCCACTCATGCATCAGGTTCCTTAGAGATATGGGACAGCCAAGTGAATTTACTTTTCTTGTTCAGGGTGTAAGGTAGTTACCTGTGACAGAGAGGATAAAGAGACTAAATGCGGCATATAAAGGCACGGGAACAATAATTTCCATAATTCAGGTAATTCTTACTTCCTGCCTTCAATAGTAACCAATATTGAGGAATAAAAACCCCAAGAGTTGATTTAAAAATAAGCTGCCTGGAGGAATTACTCCAGGTTTAGTAAGAGCCAGAATTTTTTACACTGCCTTATTTAGTTGTAGAAAAATTATATGTGTGAGGAGAGTTTTCAGTGATTGAATTCTACTGGTTAAGAGATCACATTTCAAATAGAGGCATTTAGTTAGATGCATTTACTTTTCGTTTCTCTCTCACTGTTCAGATACTACAGTGATCTGTTCTAAAATATTAATTCAGTCTCACCATTCTACACATATTCTTCCCTGTACCTTCTCTAAGCTGGTTTTTTTTTACTGTTTTTCACTCCAGAATGTGAATAATGAAGATTATTCACTGGTGTTATGGCTTTTTTTTTAATACCTATAGACTTTTCCTCTTCAAGGATGAACTGCTCAGACCTAAATATATTTCAAAACTGTGACCAAGCATTTCTGTTTCCCTCTTTTTCTCCCTGTACCACCAAATGAGCTGAGGGACACCAGTTCAAAGCCAAATATGGTCACCATTTATGTCACTTTCCTGCTCTGTGTCCTTCAAAAATACATCTGGCAAAGAGGTGGAAGAGGAGCCTTTGGAACACAAGCACAGATCATATTCTCTACAACTGCTAGACCTCAACAGGTCAAGGAGAGAAAAGCAAACATGGAAACCCCAAACATGCTGCACTTAAGAACAATACAAAAAGCAGAAATGGGTAAATGTCTAGCTTTGTAGAGCTCCCCTGAATAATTTTTCTGTTTTGCTGACTGAATAGCCAAGATACAGAAGTAACTGAGGGAGAAAGAAACCAAGAATAGGTTATTATTTAATTGCCTCACAAAGTCTAAAATACAAAGGACTTTCACTAGGGGTTACTTGGGAAGTAAAATTATAAACTTCTCTTCAGAGAGTTTTCTATTAAAGGTCATAGGTATCAAAATCTATCGTCTCACTTTAGATCAGTTGTAAAGCTACTATAAATAAAGTCTCCTATATGGCACATTGTCATTGATTCCCACTTCAGTGTAATCAGCACTGCAGACACAGGAAATTCCTAAAATAAACAGCAGTATTCTCTACTTACTGCACTTAAAAAGGAGTCAGGAGCTCTGTATTTATGTTTTAAGATATTCATTACAATAAGTAATTCATTGTAATTTAAGATATGCATCATAGTTGCTACAGAGCAAATTATTTTATTATCATTTCAATGAACAAATGTACTGTATCAAAATACAGTGTAGCTATGACAACAGTAATTCATAGTTTACCACAATCTTTACCACTAAGCAAATTAAGTAATTTTGCTGAATTGTTTCTTGATAATAAAAATGTGATAATTTGCAAGCAGTAGTGTTAACATTTACTGTTCTTAGAGCCAGTGTCTTCTTTGACAGTGTCTTCTTTGACAATTGTAAATACATCAAAATATCTTTCTTGGATAAAAACAGACCATAGGGCTGGAAAATACAGTGTCTATTCCACTGAAGCTACTAAAGAACTCATGTGGTAACTGTTCCAAAGTTCTGGGCAAAAAAAACCCCAACAAAAATCAGAAGATTTTTTTAAAAAAAATCAAAATACTGTAGTAATTTTACTTACATGCAAATGAAAAATCATGCTAAAAAAATCCTTTGTGGAAATAGATTTTATATCTTTCATCTAACTCTATATTTCTTGCTGAAAAAGATTTGGGAGTATGAAGATGGGAATAGGAAGAATGACATGAAAAATATAAAACAAATACTTGCATCAACTTTTTTGACAGCTCCATCTGAAATGTGTCTCCTGAAACCCAAGACAGCAAAAGGGGCCCAGAAGAGGAAGCTGCTTGCTGAAAACAGCTCCCCCAGTGCACTGAGACCTCCCAGGCTGCCATGTGGGAAGTCATGCAGGCACAGCAGATGGACAGCACAGGATGGAGAGGTTGGGAGGGTACTTGGGAGCAATGCAGAACTTCCTTGTTCTGGACTGCTTGGATGAAACTGGGGAAGCCAGACCTCAGCTGGATTTCAAACTGGTGAGCAACATGAAAGACAACCAGACCAGCTTGTAGGGGAACAAAAGGAAGTCTGAGAAATAGGTTTTTGGGAGAAGCTGGCAAATCTCCAGCCTTGTAGGTACTCCAAATTCAGCAAAACAAGGCTGTGAGTGATGTTACCTAATTTTTTCTTGCTTAGACTACGACATTGTTGATACCCTCCAGAGCCCTCCAGAAGTCTATTCTAACAAAAAAATTGCTGTGATTCAATGACATAATTTAATTTGCCTGCAGTTTTCTTCCCTGTGAATAAAAGAAGGGTGAACATAAGAAGAAAAGCCAGAGGGAGTAAAAAGTAAAAATTTATCTCATCTTTAATAATTTTCCTAAAGAAAGAATACTGAATTTGAACAACAAAAATTGCAAACAAGTAAAATTATTAGACTGCTACTAATTAGTTTTATTTTATCTTTTACTCTCTATCACCTATATGATTTTGTAAGCCATTCACCTTGTTCTGCATTTTTCCTTTCACTGAAAGTAAGTGGCAATACACAGGACGTGGAGATTTTGAGTGCAGCCTTCACAATAGGACTTGTAGGGGACCTTCATTTCATCTGACATTTCCCTGAGCAGAAAACTTCCACTACCATGGGATGGTACCAGACTGTAAGCACTACAATTTTTCCAGGTGCATGGTCCATCTGCTTCTCCCTCTTCGCCTCTTCATGTTTACCCAAAAAAGCGCAAGAATTTAGCACCATACACTTTTCAAGCCTGAGTAAGCAGCTTAATTATTCAGACAAAATAGCATTGATTTGAAAGTGTCTGAACAAATGAAATTCAGCCTTGCCAACCTCTTTGAGAAGGACAGCCAACCTGCTCAGGGAATTTCCAATTTTGTTACTTACAGTTCTTGTTTCTTTCTCTTATTTCAGGGTCATTTTACGCAATACAGAGCAAATTCTGGCAAAGCAATCACACAGCTGCTTTTGAAATCAGAGGAGACTTTGCTAAAGAGGCAGACCTTCAGCTTCCTCTGAATTCAAGAGCACCCAAAGACAATACATGAATCAGGGAAATTGTCAGCTGACAGTGATAAAAAAAAAATAGTAGGCTCAATTCAGCACCCTCTAAAATGAATGGGACAATTACATCTGTGAATGAGCTACCCTTAAACATGAAGTAAATATCACACTCTATTGTTGACTCCTTCTTGGACCATAAATTCTGGTCTCCTTAATGTCATTATGTCATTCCACAGGCTCATTTTTTAATAAGCCATGCCTTGCTTTTCTTCAGTGTTTCCAGGGATAAGAATTTAGACAATAGACAGTCATCTTCCACAGTAATCACTTTTATCATAGAGTCATGCTACAAAATAGAGACCCTATTATACTCCATTTACTAAATGTAGATAGGAATCAACTTCTTGGGCTATAAATGGACAGAATTACTCATTATGTTATTTGCTATAATAGTTGAACACCAATGAGTTGCAGATCCAACAAATATCTGAAAATTGCCATGCAAAAAGCCCTAAAATTAAGTTCTTGACAGATAACTAATGCTGTACGCCCCTACTTTTTATGTTATGAACAATATATACACTATATTTATGCAGGAGAAACCAGTATTTAAAACTCTTACATTTATCATAAAAATAGATTTTATTACAGAAAACAGTGCCTTGCCATAAGAGATTTACAACTGATTAAAAAGGATGGCTTGTCCTAAAACACTTACATGATTGCATGCAAAGAAAACAGATGGTCTGTGTAACAGTAATTTGATTTCTTCCAGTAAACATTACTCATGATATAGAAAATGCTTATGCTGATCTACTCCAGAGTGATGTGTGCACTTTGCCTCTCTCTTTAAATGAAGCCTGTAATTCTGTTCAAGAAACAGCACTGCAGCTCTGGTTTCCCAACAAATCAAATAAAATCAGGTTGTCTAATGCATCATTCCTCACTTAAGAGCCTGACAACACAAAGATTAGTTTTAACTTTTCACTCTCGACAAAGTGATTAACACAATGCCATGCTCCCTACTCATTTAGTCCTTTTTGTAACACTTCTTCAGGACGAACAAAAGAATACTATTTCTACCTTCATCTCTGAGAATAAGCCAAAATTCAATGTTTACTCTCTTCTGCTGCATCTAACATTCTTCTCCTTTATATAACTGCGGGTATACAAGAAGGAGGGAAAAGTCTTACTGGTAAAGCTTCATCTGTCCACCTCAAATTTTGTTCTGTCTCTTGGGTCACACCAAGAATGCCGCTCAGGGAAATTCAGCACCCACATTTCCCCTACCCAGCACTGGATGAAAAGCTGCCTTTGTAAGGCAGACAATCCTTATGGGGTTTAAATCACTAAAGTTCTTGGAAACAAAATAATGAATGGGAATTCTGTCACTTGTTCATACAAGATAATGGTCTGGGGTGATAAAGGGTTCATGTTGCCTTTTACAGCTCTTTTTGCATGAGATGAATACAGGCAGATCTTTCTCAAAGGCACAAATTTAACCCCTAAGAATGCATCCTTATATCTTTTCCTGTATTTCACAAGGACTTCACACCTGAGTATGTTTCGTCATCTGCAAGTAATAATATTCCTGCTGGAATGTAACCCTATGTGTCATTATCTTGTCTTGTTTCATTACTGTTGCTTCACCTGACTGGCCTGGACTTATCCCAGCCAAATGAAGTAAGGGCACAATCCTATTAAATGCCTGCTGGGAACACCCTAAGCTGCCGCTCTTGTCAGTGGGAATTAAGGGTTCTCGGCACACTGTAACAGGTACTCAGACCCTTGAGAAATTGGACCCTTAATTAGAAATTCCCTCATGACATTGTGTGATTATTTAATGTTCTGACAAGATGCCTCAGCAATCTCACAGGCCCT